TCTGACCACGTGTGTGCTCACACAGCTCACTTCAGTGCTAAGGAGGCGGGGGACCTGTCCACGCTCTTCGACGTGCCTCACCAACAGCTGCCCCACGGCCTTGAGGGGCAGGAAGTAGGAATCGGCCCAGCAGCCATGACCTGGGCCTGGCATCGGAGAAGGACGTGGGAGGGGCCCCGGGTGGTGCTCTCTGTAGCCATGGCCGCAGGTGAGGCCAGGGGACCTGGGAGGGTGGCCGCAAGTGAGGCCACAGAGGGGGTGCTGTGGGTCCTGGCGGAGCCTGGGCCAGCGGGAGGGCAAGGCTGGGTGCCAGGCAGCTGGCGTGGCCCGCTGGGCACGTGCGAGACGGTGCGTGTTGCAGGTGGCATCGCGGCGGGGCTCATCTCTGACTACATCAACGGCAGGGCCACCACCTGCTGCATCATGCTGATCCTGGCCGCCCCCATGGTGCGTGCAGCCTGCACAGAGCGCAAGCCAGAGCAGGGCGTGCCTCCGGGCTGTGTGCACATCTGCGCTCTCACACGCGTGTGCGCTCTGTACACACGGGAGGGCAGGGGAGCAGGCGTGGGGAGGGCGGGACTGAGAGCACAGGAAAGGGCCATTGCAGGTGGGTGGGAGGTGGGCCAGGGTGGCCAGGTGGAGCAGGGGCAGGGGCACCCTGCATCCTAGGCTCCTGTCCAGGAGGGGGAGCGTGGAGGGAAGGGGCCGGCGCCTGTGGGACTCCAGGGCAGGGGTGCTCTGGGGTGTGCCCAGCCGGGAGCCTGCAGTCACGGCCCCTGCCCCGCAGATGTTCCTGTACAACTGTGTCGGCCAGAGCGGGGTGACCAGCTCCGTGGGTGAGCAGCAGCTGTGGGCTGCCGGGCCATGGGAGGGCTCAGGGGCCGAGCGCGTGGGGGCTAGGGGCCGCGTGGCCTCGCCTCTGACGGGCCTGCCTTGTGCCTGGCAGTGATGCTGGTCGCCTGCGGGGCCCTCGTCAACGGCCCGTACTCGCTCATCACCACCGCTGTCTCCGCCGACCTGGTGAGCAGGGCTTGCTGCCGTGCAGTGCGGGCCCCTTCCCTCGGCCCCAACCCTACCTGTCCTGCACAGCCAGGCCCTCGGAGCCCTCCCTGCCGTGTGCCCCGCGGCCAGCCCCACGCGCTCTCTCCCCAGGGCACGCACCAGAGCCTGAAGGGGAACGCCAAGGCCCTGTCCACCGTGACAGCCATCATCGACGGCACGGGCTCCATAGGTCTGTGGCCGGCTTGTCTGGGGTGCCCTGGGTGTGCAGCTGCGGGCGGGAGTGGGCTCCTCACGAGGCCGTGCCCCTGCAGGTGCGGCTCTGGGGCCCCTGCTGGCCGGGCTCATCGCGCCCACGGGCTGGAACAACGTCTTCTACATGCTCGTGTCTGCCGACGTGCTAGCCTGCCTGGTGTGTGCTCGGGTGCCTCTGGGTGTTTGGCTGGGACCCGCGGTCCGGGCACGGGGCTTCTGGGACAGGGGGCGGCTGCCCTGTTGCCCAGAACCTCGCACTGCCTGTGGTGGCCCTGGGAGCCCCGCGACGCCCTGGTGTCCTGACACAGAAGGCTGAGCCCCTGCCGCCCCACAGCTTCTCTGCCGCTTGGTGTACAAGGAGGTCCTGGCCTGGAGGGCCTCGCTGAGCAGCAGCCGAGGGTGAGTTCTCCGAGGGCCGGCCCTGCCTGGCTGCGGCTCTGCCTGTCCTGTCCCCGCCTGGGGACCTGAGCCGGCCCCGACGTGCTGCGACCCCAGCCCTAACCTATCCTGTGTCTCCTAGCTCTAGCCTGGCCCTAACCCACCCGCGATAGGTCCCTCCACCCGTGACTTTGTGAGTATCTCCCAGCCTGTGCCGAGCATGCCCTTGGGACAGGAGCTTTGCGGGACCCTCTGTCCCCCAGCGGACTCCCCGACTTTCTCTGTCCTCTTTTCTTGGGGGCCGGTTCTGAAGACCCCAACTCAAGCAGAGCATGGTGCTTGGCAAGTGTTTTCCAGGTCTGGGTGCTGGAGGCAGCAGCACCTTCCCTGGAGCCCTGGGCTTTGGGCTTGCTCTCCCAGGCAGAGGGGGTACGGGGACACCACCCCCCTGGCCCTTTAGGAACCAAGGCCGTGTGGCCCTCTGCCTGGGTCAGAGCAACTCCCACCCTGCAATGCAGATCATGTGTCGGTGGCTGGCCTGGTGTGCCCTGTGCTGTCCCTGGTGGTGGGTGTGAGGTGGCATCACCAGCATGGTGGCCCCGCAGGGGCGGTGGCCAGGCACCCTCTGGCCCTCCTGCTTCTCCCAGCAGGACCTCCCTGCTTCGGCCGTGGGAGGGAGCCGCCTGAGGGGAGCTGGGTGGGCCTCAGTTCTGGGGCTGCAGGGTCCCCTCAGAGGCTCCGGCCCGGCTCCTGGGACAGGACGGGGAGGGGCCCGGGAACCGACGTGTTGTGTGCGTGTGCTCGGAGCTGGAGTCACCACAGACACGGGGTCTTCAGGGGGTTATGGAGAACGTGTGTTCTGAGAGCCCAGTACACCAATTTCAGCTTTGCACCAAAATATACTTGTAGGTTAATCCCCTTCCCCACAACCCTTTTGAAGTCCCCTGCATTTGCATGTGTGCCATCCCGAGAGGTGAGAAGAGGCCAGGGACGGGGCTTCACCCAGGGCCGTGGAGGGCCAGGCCGGCTCCCCGGGCCCAGCTGTAAAGTGGCCCGGTCCGGCCCCTCCCTTCAGGAGGCCCGTGGGTGGGCAGTGACTGGCTGGAGCCCAGCGCTGGGTGTGGCTGGGTGTGGGGCCGTCTCAGAGGCCCTGCCCCATGGGGATGCCCGAGGCTGCAGCGGGACATGAGGTTGGTGCTCACACTGGCCTGGACAGGGCCAGCTAAGTCGGCTGGCTCTCCCCCGCCTGCCCCCCT